ATCTTCTTGTCTTTATTTTTCTTCTAGCTTACCTAAAGTGGGCAATGGAGGAGGTAAATGTACTTAGAAAGATAGTGGAAGCATTTAAAGGTGTCTAACAGATGATTCCATTGATTGTTAGATAGTGAAATTCACTCTTCCACTGCAGCTACTTAACATCCTCAATACATTAGCACACAGTAATACATGAGAATTCCAAAAGATCAAGGTTAACGGACTCCATCACGTTTGTTAAAAGAGCAAAGGGTAAAGAAATCCGGTGTGTAAGCACATAAGATCAAGACCAATGTTATAAGCCAAAATGAACACAAATTTTATATATCAGAGTTATAAATACACGGGCAAAATCTATTTAAACTAATATGGATGAAATACAACAGATATATCTTTGTTAATACAAAATGATATCTAAAACTCGACAAGGTAGTAGATTTAGTACCTCATGAATGAAAGCAAAAAAATAATCTGGGGATGTGTCTTTGCCTGGGATTCATCAAGGTTCAAATAAATATAGAGGGAAATTTGTGACAGTCTCTTAAAATACTGAGCCATGCATTGCTCTTCATGGCAGGGGAGTGATGAGGGTGTAACCCCAACATTTAGCTTAGTTGTGTGATTTTGTGGAAGGCAATTAAAATCCATGTTGTGATATGAGGCAGAAAACATTTCTCAATGAGAATTTTTGGTAGTGATCCTTAAAAAGAGTAATAAATTACTTTACGTCAAACTTAAATATTTACATTTGAACATTCTTCTCACAAAGAGAGCAACAGTGCAGTTTTTTGTTACCTGAAGAATAAATTCAAATGAGAAGATATGCCAGCTATCAGCCATTTGACAAGCACTTACTGAGTTCCTACTGTATTCTGGCCCTCAAGATACAGAAATAAATAAACAATGTTTCTTCTTCTTAAGTAGTTTATAATCCAGCATCTTCTGAAAAGCAACAGCAGAAGATAGCTTAACCTTATTTTGGGAAAAAAATCAAAGATGTATTTTGAGAAAAAGTGTGATCCATCTGTGAAGCAAGAAGTAAAAATACTACTAAGTTCTCCACGGAGGGAGAATGGATGTATGTAAGAACAATAGCAGAGCAGTCTGTCACGTTGTTCAGATTTCAGCTGACGCAGTCATGGAAATCGTGGCTGTCAGACACCCCGTTTGTAACTCTGAGGGACAGTGCACATGTGGATATACGGCATGAAAGTAGTCTTTAAAGAACATAAAGGACATAAATTTCATGACTCAAGAAGAATGGAATTCAACCAGGGAAGAGGCTGTATCAGATGTAATGTTCAGTGATGGGGAAAGTCACTCAAAATGTGAAGATAATAGAAAGCTCTGGGACAGGAGCCATTTGCTCCTTCCACAGATTTGGTGCAGTAACACGAGGGTACACCAGAGCACTTTCACAGGGAAAATTGGGAGAGTTAGGAAACCCAGAAAGAATTATCATCCTGGCAAAAATTTCAAAAGGTATGTCTGTCTGTAGTCAGTCTTATTAAATATCAGTAACTCCTGAGAAAGACAACTGTAAAAGACAAAGAAGTGAAACGCGCCTCCATGTGAACCTGATGAAAATGAATACCTTTATGAAATATTGGTAAAAGGAGGTAAAACATAGCAAAAGCTACATTAAATTTTATCTACTTCAATCATCTGAAAGCCGAAAAGGAAGTCAAAGGCTGTCCAGGTTGATTTGGTCATTTTTTAAAAATGGACATGCAGAGAGGCTGACCTGTCTGTCAGGGCCACACTGCGCGTTGGCTTGGACACATGATCTGACCCATCCAGTTGGTCTTATGTCACAACCACAAGAGCCCATTTGTTCCTGTTCTGCTGCAGACAAGCTGCCTCCGTCGATTAGATTTAGCGGGACATATGGGAGGCCCAACTGTCTTGTACTTCCCTACGATCAGAATTAACTTTCCCTACTCCCCCACCCAGGAACTAATAGATTTAAGTGTTCTTACCACCAATTTGCTTAAATGAATAAGCAAAAAATGAAAGAGGTAAACCAACTGTTTTACCCATTTTATTCTATGAGTAATGTAATTAGAAAGTCAAACTACTGTAAACAAGAGCTTTACATTTCTAATACTTACTGTCTTCCAGTGTGTCATGTTTCAGAGAATATAAAATCCAACAGTGAAAAGGAATTTGGTTTCCCACATAGTTAAGATATTTCTCTATCCTTCTTATGGGATTGTAAATTCTGCCCTGCTCCTTCTCACCCTCTCTCTCTTTCTGCCCTCAATTCCCCAGACTCCCAACATACACATTCAACTTGCAAGACAAAACTGGGCACGAAAGAAATGAGACCTGAGGGGGAAGAGCTTTTTCTTTTTAGTCTTACAATAGATAACTGAATTTCCTGAATTATAAATGAAACCTCTAGAGATATAAATAGAAGAGGGAAAAGCTGCTGAGAGATATGACATTCTCTTCCTCTCACTCAATAAGTACTTCATAAGTCACTGGAGGCTGGCAACTTCCATATAATACATTAATGCAGACTTGAGAAGAATGTCGATCGCTCCCTTTGCCTACAGATTAAAAAAATACCACATGGGAATATAATGGACTCATTCTAAAGTTACAGAGTTTAGATAGATAAATAAATGGGACAAAAGACAAAGGTACACACAGGCCAAATTCATACATATTCTGTATCTGTACAATGCACTTTTATATTTTGAACAGAAACATCTCATGAATAGTACTTAGTTGTATTTTTAATTTAAAAAAAAATATCTAGCACACAATCCTATATACAGATAATGTACCATAGAATTGTACATTTGAAACCTATATAATTTTATTAACCAATGTCATCCTAATAAATTTAATTTTAAAAATAAACAAAAAAATATCTAGCCTTTAGCACATTTGACCGTCACTTAGTCTTATCTTTGCCTAATAAAGGAAAATATGTGTAGCACATATCCTAGGTTCTGCATGCTCCTCTGGGTTGACTAGACTAAGGAGATTGAAAAATATTATTGGAACTCAGTGGAGTATCACCACCAAAAGTGTCACCTCCATGAAAAAAGAAAAGCAGTCATCCATTCATGCATGGTCTCCCCTCCCCGCCCCCCCCCCCGCCCCGCCAAGGAAGAATGTTTGAATTGCATCTGCTCCCATCAGTCCCAGGCAGGTGTCTTTGTCATGTTCCAATTTACGATTAGGAAGAGCGCCCTGGTAAGTTGAAAGACTTACTGCAATTCCAAGACTCACACCTTTCAAATTTTACCGCACAAGTGTTAGGAGGTGCTCACTCATTTTTCACTGTGCGCCCTCTGTCCCCGCCTCCTCAGGGAATATATTCTCTTACTTAGCCATTTTTTTCCTAGCTTTCTCATTGAAATTTATATTAAACCCATCAGTATTTTAAAATGACATTTCTTTTTGTGGGCATAAAAAAATTACAAAGTTCACAGGAGTGAGTCACTAAAAAATTATAGTATAGATGGTTTTGATGATAACCTGATTCATTCAAACTGTATTTAAAATGAACTTATCTCCCACACTCAATTTTATTTCTCAAAGTTGACATTTAGTAAGTTAAATAGATCATCTGGATATATTAAAATAGAGTACTAAAGGTTTAGTCAACTTTCAGGTGGAAAAATCAATGTGAAGAGGACTCTTTGAGGATCTATTAGATAGTTTAACCACAATGATAATTTATCAAGAACTTCTATGCTACACGGCTGGCCTAACTCTCTGGGAGCTCTTCACTGTTTAATGAACACCCCTCTAATATGACATCTTTAACACAAATTAAAAAAAAAATAAACATGTCATTTGGTCCTAAGTTGAGAAGTAGCTGCTCTTCTTCTTTATAATCCCTCGTGCCACATAAGTATAGTTAATGTTCTGTTGTTATTGTTAAATTTTACTTTGAGTCCTCTGTATGTGTAAACACAGTCTAAGTGCTGTCTTTCCTTTTCCCATTCCCACTCTCTATTATTACTGGCTTCCTTCAGGAGACAACTGTCAATAGTTTTGGGGTTCTGTATTAGTAAGCCTTTGAAGTATGGTATCAGTCATTAAGCTGATTATAAGCTAACTATGTCTTTGTTTAAATATACAACATGGCAGGGCTAGAAAAATATTAAAGCTTATTCTATTGTTACACCAACATATTAATTAATGGATTTTTAGTAATAGCACAGCCTAGTAATTATGAGCAAAAGCCTTGGGATGAAAACTGGATTTAAATTCTGAACCTGCTATTTGTTAAGTAGGTGACCTTGACCAGTTGTCTAATGTGTCACACGGGATAATGATAGTGCCTTGTTCACCCATCAGACATCAGGACACAAGGTAAGACAGGCATACAAGACATTCTACATAGTGCCTGGCATTGTAATACTCATTTTTTAAACTGTTATTATTATTACTGGTATCATAATTCATATTATTATGCAAATATTAGTTCCATAATTTACACATATATTTTATCACACATTTTTTAACTGTACCATATGTCTCAGTTTTATTTACAAGGTCATAATTTAGCACATTGCTTAGTGCCTTGTTGAAATTCAAATCTATTACTATAAGTAATACAGTACATGCATACATACCCAAGAATGCACAAACATGTATATGAATTTTTCCCACCAGATCCATATATCTACTGTTTTAGCCACTTTATTTTGAGTTCTCTAATTAGAAAGTCAAGCTAAATAAGAGCTTCACATTTCTAATACTTACTCTGTCTTCCAGTGTGTCTTGTTTGAGATAACATAAAATCTAACAGCTAACAGGATTTACATATCTTTATATAAAGATTTATAGTTATTTATATGTCTTTCTTATAAAATTGTCAAGTCTACCCCACTCTGCAGGTGCCTCACAATTACCGATTCAGTTACTAAGTGTTCGCAAATGATTCTGTGAGAATGCTGCCCAGCTTCAGTATTGATTTCACAGGAAATTAAAATTTATGTTCAGATGAAACTAATGAAAGTTCCTAGAGCTGAAGTACATACCTGCATTCAAAAAAGGTAAGTTGTCTTTTCCGCTCACACTTTCTGGGGCTGTACATTCAGATACCAGTGCACACTAGGAAAAAATAAAAGGAGAAAGAAAACAATAATCAAAATAAGAAAATTCTTTTATGTTGTTGGCAAAATGTGAAGCTATTGCACATAGTTTTGGAAAATTCTCAATAAGACCCTTGGTAAAACTATTTTCAGGTTTATGGTTATGACAGAACTTGCTTATCTTATGATTATTTGAATATAATATGATTGTATTACATAATGATAACCTACATTTCAGTTCAGTTAAAGACAACCTGGGAAAGAAGGTAAAAAGTGGGAAAGGAACATCCCGGAATGTTCCTAGTACAGCAAATCACATTTGACAAGCTGAAAGATTTTGTTTTCCTAACAGCAGGGATGATTTCGAATCAATAAAAAGCGAATTGTTTTCTAGACTTTAAGTAGGGGCAACTTTAAATATAAAATAAAATATGTTGTGGCATCTAATTCCATAAGCAAAAGGAGTTTTGTCTTCAGCAAAACAATGCAAACACTTGCTCGTGGAGCGTTAGAGCAATTCATAAACAAGCTGGCCCAGGGATCACAGGCCCCTGAGCCTTTCCCGGAGCCAGCCCCTCTCAGACAGAAGAGAGGAGTGTCTCGAAGGAGGATGTCGCCGTGTGCCTGGTAAGTAAACCACGAGTGGGGGACAAATCTCAGATAAACTATTCGTAAACATGGGACTCTTCTTCAGCTTCTCACAAAATTATAACAGGGGAAGCAAAACTCTGGCCCCAGGAGGTTGGCAAGAGACCTATTTCCTCACTAATAATTTGTTTCTTCAAATGCATTTCCTTCTATCTACAGCCAGGAAAAAAAAAAAGCCAGGGGAAGGAAAAGAAGGAATTTTCAAAGCAAGTATGTCAAACATAAACAAATGAATGCAGATGAAAACAAAACAAACAAAAACCCAAGAGTTTTTTGGGGGTGAGTTCTAAGGGACGCGGCCATCGTGAAGGGCTCCTGGCTTTGTTCAGGAGGCCCCTGGGCTCAGACCGGCCTTCCTAGGACAGTGCATCAGAGCTGCTGGGGCTGTTTCCTACCCGTCCTGACCACCGGTCTCCCTCTACTCTCCTTCCCTGGCCCCAGCCACTTGTGAGAGTCACGGCCACTGAGGTCGCTCATGATGATGGAATATATATATATTTATATCCCTCAAGCGTTTCGAGATGTTAACTTAATCCTTGCTTTAAATGTTACTTTCTGTCTTCTTCTAGTCCACTTCTTATTATTCTATCAGAACATTCGTCACATTACTCAGACAATTTCTTGATGGGGAAAAATGTGCTTTCACAATGTCTTTAGTACTTATATTGAGGTCCTAGTTCACTGAAAGAACAGATAACTTCAAACAACTCTTAAAATTTAATGTCCTCTAAATCCTGACCAACCAGAAGTCAGAAGGGACCCTGCTTTTTTTTTACTCCACAGCTATTTTGGAAATGCACTTTCTGAATCATGAGAGCAGTGCGCGGTGATGCTGGGACATCCTTAAAACACTTTCTCCGATTTCCAATACACCTGCTACTCCTTTCAGCCTATATAGGGCTGTTAAAATGATGCTTCATAAACACTCTATTCATCATAGTAATGTTCTATTCTGGAACGCACAATGGTTATTTACTGCCCCATCAAATCCTATACTCTCAGACTGGACTTCACATCCTTCCCTGATTCGTCTCTGATATCCTCCCACACAGGAACGAGGCATAGAGCTACAGGCCACCCTCCTTTCCAAAAGAAGATCATCATCTACAATAGAACTTATAGGAGTAGTTTAGATGAAACCCTTTTCATGCAGAAGTCCACCATCCGCAGGGATCAGGTTACCCTCCTGAGAAGCGGCTTCCCTGCGTGGGGGCATCCCCACTTCCGTGTAATCAAAGCCAACTTCCTGTCTCCTGACAGAAAGCCTGCAAATATTGACAAATGGGTACAGAAATATGATTGTCAGACCTCCATGATCCCGTCCACGCTGGGAAGCAGACACTCAGGATGATTTTAACCTAATAGCATTCTTATTTTGCAATTTTTGTATTGTACTTTGAAGCTCTACTATTCAAAAGGATCTCAAGATTTAAATCCATGAAACATAAATGAAAATATCCCATAAATATTTATAAAATTAAATATTTTCATACCTAGACTTGGTAATTATTTTCTTCAGTTGTCCCCCAAGTATAGTGTATGTCTCTCTGTAGATTGAAAGATTCTTTAAGCAAAGAACCGTATTTTTTGTTTTCTTGGCCCATTTTATTTTATATCATTACAATGGACCCTAGAATCATTTCTGCACTGTGCTAAGATGTTACAGAGAATACAGAGATTAAAAAAAGATGTGGCATCTGCACTTATGGAGGCTTAAGCTACATATACTGTTCATTCTTATCACAATGACAGATATTTGCAGCATCGCACTTGGAGGGTGTGTGCTCCCAATGTAATGACTTCACGTGGGTGATTCTGAGCAGGAATAGCAAACACTGCACACTTTCTGTACCACATGTAGCACCATACACCTACTGATTTTGATGAATATTTTACACAGTGCCATTTAATGGTAATTGTGGCCAAGGAGAAGAAACAAGATATGTACAATTCTTGGAGCTTAATGATTTTAAATATCAACTAACATATCAATTTGCTATTCACTGGGCTAGAAAATTAGCAAATTGTAAGATCATAAAGCTCTGTAGGAATCCCTCCAAGACCAATACTTCTTGGCAAAGCACTTTCAGATCTGTTCGTTTACTCCTTAAATCACAGTTCTCTACATTTGGGATGGAGTCTCCTGGAAGTCCCTGGTAACATTTGTCTTTGCATCCTCCATAGCATCTCGCAAGGTAACGTGGCCGGACAGAAGTGGACAACAATGAGGAGTAGAAGATGAGATAAACAAGTCACGGGCGGCAACACGTGTAGGACTTCAAGTCACACCACTGGAAGGATTTGGGTTGACACCCCCAGGGAGTTAAGAAGCCGCTGGAGGAAGGACATGTCCTGCATTACATTCTAATAAGTGCTCTGCTCAGAATAGACTGGGGGGGGGGGGGGGAGGAGGAAGGAAGGAAGTGGGGAGATATTTAAGAGACTATTGTAAAACTGTGGGTGACAGTCAGTGTTGGTAACAGTGAAGGGGTCATGGAGTCCTTGGATTCTGGATTCATTAAGAAGTCAGATTCAACAGGATTTGCTGACATATTCTCTGTGAATATGAGGAAAAGGGAAGGAGTCAAAAATAAATCCAAAGTTGAAAAAGAAGTTTGGATACCTAACGCAATAATTCACCTGCTATTTTGGCTCTGTGAAAGGACAATGTTAGTTTTTTTGTGTGTGTGAATTTTTCTTTCTACTCCTATGCAGTATGAGCACTTTGTCCTCTATTGCCATGTACGCACATATCACATAAAAGTTCGAACCAGTGTAGAATGGCTCATGGCCCTCTGCTCCACCTTCCCGGCATGAAAAATATCGGTACAGCCAAAGTAGGTTTACAGTTGTGAGTATGTGAAAAGTAGAATTTATTCTTGTATGGTTACTTATTAATTATTGTTTTGGTTTTCATACAAACAACTATGAACCTACTTTTGCCCCACCCTGTATATCAATAATATGATTTGAGGAAACAAGTAAGTAAAAGTGTATGAGAGCACAGACTTTGTATTTTATTTCATGCTCTGAAGGCTATGTAAAATTCCAAATTAAAATGCAGTATTTTATATCAGAGGTATTGTGGCAAATGAAATTGTGTTCCTAAAATTCACATGTTGAGGCCCAAACAGCCAATGTGAATGTGTTTGGAGAGCAAGACCTTCTGGGAGGTAATTAAAGGTGATGAGGTCATTAGGACGGGGCCCTATGGGATGGTGTCACGCACGAAGAGAAAGAGATTCCAGAGCGCACTCGCTCTCGCTCCCTCCCCCATTCTCTCCCTCTGCCTCTGCACAAGAGGAGAGGCCCGGTGAGCACGCGGCAAGTAGCCTGCCCACCAGGAAGAGAGCTGAAACTAGGAACTGAATCATTTGGCATTTTGACATGGGACTTCCTAATTCTCCACAACTGTGAGAAAATAAATGTCTGTGTTGAAGCCACTCAGTCTATGATATTATATTATGGCAGCCGAGCTGATTAATGCAGTCATTAATCTTTTATCTGCTTCAATATACATGAGGGATAACATGTATCATTTACCCACATGACTAGGGGTCTAAGAGTAGTTCTAGCTCTTCCTCCCCCACTGATGCAAACTGGTGAGAGGGATATCCTTTCCAGTGACTTTGTCTTTTCACATGCTTCAGTCATTCACTGGCTTCAGGACTTAAATCTCCATTAGTAACAACTTGCGTTAATACGCTTCAGTGATTTTGATTGAGCGAATCAGCAAAAGGGCCTTTGCGCTGGCATTTCTACCAAACAGCCTGGATGACTGACCATGCTTTGAAAAACACTGAGATAGCTGTTTCCATATAACTCTTCTAAATAGCGTGCAGAGTAGACTTACTCCATGTTCTTCACTCAATCTTGAACATGTCCAGGGACCCCCAACAGAGTTTACAGCAACTTTATTAAAAAATTTGCACAAGGCCAAGGTTTACCCAGAATGCAGGCAGGATGAAGGCAAGGCCAGTAGCACTTGGTGTGTGTTCCACGTGCATCACCTGTGACTTGCGCACGGTTTGTGCTGACACTGTCACCTCCTGTTCCTAGCACTGCTCAGTTGAGTCTCTTTTAAGTTCACATTTCTGAGTCCGAAACATAAAGGAGGACTTGGGGGGGCGTATTCCTGCAGATCGAGCTCCCCAGCTATGAAAAGGGCATGACTCCATTCGCACTACCTCCCAGCAGCAACACAGTAAAGGAGGCGCGGGGTGGATGAGCTTTGAGAACAGAGTGGCCAGTAACAGATTCAGAGGCAGGGAAAGGAGCCCAGCTTTGAAATGGGACGGGTGCCTGCTCCCGGTCCCCCAGCTCACTGCCGCACGTCCAGGCACCTTCTCTGCCTATTTCTGCCCTCAGTCCCCGCTTCCCCTCGCGATCCTCCCCCTTTATTTTCATACAAGCATCCGCAAGGTGGTGACTGAAATGAGTCTTATATAGAACTCCAAAGGACACGAGGATCAAACGAAGGGGCCTGGCCCCTAAACAGGGGTCCTGATTACACCAATCCTAAGAGGATCTGCTGTGAAACTTCACCATGACCCTGACATCTGGCATTTGGAAGAAATCTGATTCAAACTCTGGGCCTCCTTGGAATATTTTCCTGATCTGGGATATGCTCCAAGGGAAAATAAGGGAACAGAGTGGAACAAGGCTTGAGGCAGCAGATAAGAGCTTAGCCTTCCCTGGGGCAAGAACAGTGTATTTTTGAAATGCAGTCTTAGATACATTTTGTAAAGTTAATAATTTAAGTGTTGCAGAAACGCCATCTTCCATGTAGATGTTTCCTTACTACCAAAATTCAAACACTCCCAGATACGAGACACTAAACCAGAAATTAAGTCAGACTAGGCCTTATTATTAAAAAATGTTCGTTTACAAAAATGTAGTAATTATAATCTATACACAAACTCATTTTCCTGAAAAAAAAACTATTAGCAGTTTTTAACTCTGTCCCCTGTGCTTCCATAGAACAGGCAATTGCATTCCTAAGATGGGAATTTAAGATAATATTTGATATCAAGTTTCTCTTTCTTGGAAAACAGGAAGTAGGAAGAAAGTAAAAAAATCCTGGACACATCTTGATATGCATTGACCTTCCCCCTGGACTTCAAGGGCACTGTCTGCCCCCCCGCCCCCCCCCCCTCCCGCGTAGTCACTGCCCCTCCTCCAGAGCTGCCCCTCTGCTGCATGCTATTTCCGGCCTCTCTCTCCGCAGTTTCACAAGGCACAGTGTTATTGAATCTGCCTTCCTTCACCTAAAAATGAAAAATCTAAGTTCACACTGCATCTTCTTCCAAAGAGGGTTCTGAGAGCAGCGAAGTGATTACTTTTGGCAATAGCCCACCAGGAATTTTCTGGGCGTCTCCCGAAGGGTTAATTATGGCAGAATGCAACACAGATCAACACTTAGGTTCCCACCGGCAACAGGCAGAGTCAACACAAGAGCTACAGTGCGGAGGAAGGTGTCTCTGAGGGGCGCCTGGCTTTGCAGAGTTCATGCAAACAGCCCTCTGGTTCAGAGGATGAAACGCACTTAGGGCGCCCCGATTCCAGAGCTGCTTTCTCATTTAGCGCCTGAGTGATGAGACTGCATACCCCACAGAGGTGCTCGTGATTCGGGCATCTGGCAGAGATGATCATTTCCAATTTAATTTGTGCAACGAGCTGGCTGAGACCCTACCTTTTGTCCCTGCACGTCTGTTGTGATGTGGTCGGCTTCCCCATCCTCAATCTCCCCCATCTTCACGATACTGACTTCTATGGTGCCAACAACTTTGCCACCATCGGAAGTTCTGCAAAAACAAATGGAATGGAGAGGTAAGAATCTTCTCTCTCCTTAAATTACAGTTAGTTGCCCCTTACCCATGGTTTCGCTTCCTATGATTTCAGTTAGCTCCTATCAAGTGTGCTCCAAGAATATTCAATAAAAAAATTCCAGAAATAAACAATTCATAAGTTTTAAAAATGCATGCCGTTTTCAGTAGCATGATAAAAGTCTCCCAGGGTCCTGCTCCGTCTTGCCCAGGATGTGACTCATCCCTTTGTCCAGCATCTCCGCACGGTGTATACAATACAATAAAATATGTTGAAAGAGAAAGACCACATTTACATCACTTTTACATGATATTTCTATTTTATTATTAGTTAGTGTCATTCATCTCTTACTGCGCCTACTTTATAAATTAAACTTTATCATAGGTGTGTATGTATAGGGAAAAACAGAGTACAGTTTATAGCATAGGGTCCAGCACTACCCAGTTTCAGGCATCCACTGGGTCTTAAAACGCATCCCCCGTGGATAAGAAAGGACTATAGTATGTCCAAACATATTTGTTTCTGAAAACCACTAACATTGCTATTTACTTCACTGGTTTTAATTAAACAAGTCTGCTTAAAACACATCAATGCATGTTAATGTTGGTGTTGTTTTTAATTTCAAAAGAAAATTAACAATGAATTTGCAAGGTAAGCGCACAGATTGTCAAAAACAACTTCTCGAAGGCGAGGGCTCCTCCCGGCTGTCAAGGGTGGCCTCAAGGATGGTGGGTCAGGGTCTGTTTAGCAGCCCCACATATCTGCGCCAGCATGAACCACAGCCCCTCCAAACCAACTGTGTGGGATATTGCGTACATCTATTACAGAAAATACAGCTGAATACAATAGAAAAGAGAATAAACATCCCTATATTCCTCTATCACTGGGCCATGGGCTACAAAATTTGATTTTGTGTCTTTCCCCCAACCTCATTTTTCTTTCTAAGAGACTAGGTAACGAGGATTCTCTCCAAGCAAACGCAAGAAAGTCAAGGTACACGCAGAGCAGAAATTAATCATTGAGATCGTTTAGTACAACCTAGTGCTTTTACAGATTAAAAAAACGGACTCAAAAAGATGGAAAGACTTGCTCAAGGTAAAGGATTCTCTAATTTCTTCCTCTGGACAAGAAAATATACAGAATAAATGATGCCATCATACCACGGAAATATTGTCACAATAACGATATTCCTCCCTTGAACTGTTTTTTTTTGAAAATAGGTAGCAAGCCACCCCATATGTATGACGTGTTGCTGTAACTTCTAAGACTAATTGACTAATAGTATCACATGACAGTTTTCTTCATTTAGTCATGTTCTTTTCTGAAATTTGTTTTTAACTTTAATCTGAACACCAACACTATCTTTCAACCAATTCCTTCTAAATGCCATTATTATTGGAGTTTTCAGAAAAGAGGAAAGGGAAAATTAGTATAAGTAGTTTACCAAAATGCTAATTACAATAATAACTAAGTTAAGTAACAATTATGTTATTAGGTCATGAATTATGCTTTTGAGAAAACTTAGATAGAAAATTCTGTTGACATACATAGCTAATGTTATAATATAATAAAATAAAGATTATGTACATAAAAAGTTACTTACTTGTTAAACAGCATATTAACATTTCTTACTAAAATATAAAATGCTTTTTCACAATTTTTAAATCAGTGTAAATCATAATAATTGACTCAATTATTTAAAAATAATATAGAAAACTTACTTATCACAAAGAAGATATGCACATAGATGAACAGTATAATCTGTGATTTTGTGAAAAACTATATTACCTTCGATTCTGGGGTGGTTTTAAATAATTCATCATACCATTTCCCAATTAAAAATGACATAATAACTTGTCATAATGTTTGATGGGATATAATTCTACAATTTCTGGGTACCTAATAGTTAAATAGTTTATTAATTAGAACCCTCATTGGCACTACCCATAATTTTTTTCCTAAGAGATTTGGAGACTTTTTTCCCCCTAAACTGATCATTAATAACAATTAAAGATATCTGTACCTTCTCATAAGAATTGTTTAATTTATTTTTTTTTGCTTGAACAAACTTGAGGTAGCGTAATGCAAAGCCTATATATAACATTCCGAATTTTTTCCTTGAACTAAAGCAAATAATGCATATAATGATTTGGAACAAAAGGTAGACTTGCCATTCCTGTGGCAAGTCCACCTTCCCAGGACTGGGTAATACGCCAATATGTGCTATAACGGTTAGAAGTGTGAACTCAGAATTCGACTTATCTACAACCTACATGACCATGGGCAAGGAACTTAGCTACAAGAAGCTTCTTTTGTAAAATGGAGACGACGATAACTTTGTTGTAAGGATTACATTAAGTGACATGATTTTTGGAATGTGCCCGAAACAATGCCTTATGCAAGATACATGCTTCATCCTTCTCCCCCACTTCTTCATCCTACTAGTAGTAGCAGCAGCAGCAACGCGATTATTATTATCATTAATGTGTTATATTATATTTAATTTGATTCTCTCTGGAAATATTTTACTAAAATAGGCATCAAAGATTATAGGAAAAGATTATAGGATCTTATGTCATATGTATTTCTACCGAGATAAAGTACCCATTAGAGATAGAAAGCTTTAGCAATAAAGGATGATGTTATTAAGCTTTCATTCTTAACAAAGCAAAGAATATAAGTTTATAAATAATTTCAATGACAGCAAGCATTTCAAAGTGCCAAAGTAAATGACTGAGCAGCATATGGTAGGAGTAAGCTTCTGAACCCTAGTTCTCTCTATTCCTTTTTTAAAAAGTATCTGGCTATTTTTTTCAATAATTTTTATGTCTTTTGGATTTTTTCTCACTTAGGCTTTCAACCCATCACATTGGGGAGGCTAGTAATAATAGCTTAATCATTATTTATCACAAAAAATCTACTGAACTTTATGTACTGGAAATTCATTGTATCTATCTCTATAAGAAACACTGAAGAGGGTTCTGGACTTGGAATCAAGAAACCCAAGTACTACTTCCAGCTCAGCTGCTAACTAGCTATGTGACAAAGGACCATCACTTCAATTCTCTGGGTTTTAGTTTCCTCTCCTGCAAAACAGAGTTTCCAGCAGCTGTTCTATAATATCAGCAGTGAAACCCTATGAACTAATTACTCCTATGATTCTATAGTATGATTCTATTGTAGGTAGCATAGGCCATCAGAGGCTGCTACATCCTTGGGGAAAATCTCAGGCACATTCTAGCCTCTTATTCTCACTCCCCACCTTCCTGTCCAACCCTCCCTTAAAATAAGCCAAACAAACAAAATGCATGCTAAACCTGGGAAGATGCTCAAAACTTATAGTCCAATAAAAGAGCTGATTTTTCTTACTATATCCAATGCATACATATATATGGCATCACATCTTGGTATTTTTATAAGGAAATAAATTTGAACCAAGAAACACTTCTCTAAAAATTTATATGGCAATAAGAACAGGCTGTAGCAATAGATAACTATCTCAATCTATAGGAAGGCCAAAAAAAGACTATGCTATTTCAAACAGTCTATTGCCAGGTCATTACTGCTAGTTAATGCAGGGAACTGTAAGAGAAATGAAAGATGGATAGTTCATGGCTGCTATAATACTTCGATCACAACATTCAGTTCTTATTCCTTCAGCAGAGACACTTAAATATTTAACCATGCCCACAAGATGAAGAAGTGGGGAATTCCAGCAACACCAATCTATACTCTCTTCTCACTTAGGTTTTCAGCATGCATAATACATTAGTGATTAAGATTCTTTAAAATCTGCCTTTAAAATAACTCCCCTAATGCCTCCTAATGAAACATTCAATTTCCTAGGCAGAAACGTGCAAACATTTTTAGAAGACAGAAGAAAGGGAAACGGGAGACAGTCTTCCAACAGAGGACAACTGAATGACATTCTTCCTCTAAACTTCTTCAGTACCTACTATACTATTCTTAGTAGAGAAAAAAGAAGAAAAAAACTACCTCTGGAAAGGTTAAACAGTAAAATGTAAATAATTCCTCTACTTTGGAAATGCCACAGAGATACAAACCAACAAATGACTCTGTAAACATCCAGGGAAAAACTATCATGAGTTCTGTCCATCTTTGTGAATATAAAGTAAGCTCGTTGCTATGCACTGGTATCTTCAGCTGCAAGACATGCTTTGCATTTAAACCACCTAGACAAGTAACTGGGAAATGAAGCTCTTACCTGGATGAAAATAAGCAAAGACCATAAGTAAACAAACAGAGTGAGTGAGCCTGTCTGTGCACCCTGACAGTCTTTCTGGGGAATACATTTATCTGGCAATGCTAGACTTACAGAGGGCTCAGAAAAAAAAAGTGAGAGTTCTATTTAAATGTGTATTACTAAACATATCCCTATTCTGGCTGAAATTCATACAGGTAAGAAGCCATATAATACTTTCAAAGTAGAACTCAAACAAAAGTTTTTAGTAGTTCTTACTATTAGAACTTAAACACTAAGGTTTATTCCCTGGTTTTTTCCTCTCTTCTCATTATAAGTTAGCCTTCAGAAATTCCATGCATTATTATGGGATTCAACTCTCTCTTCTGTGAGACCCTACCACAATTCTCCTATATTTCTTTCTCTGTCCTGATTTCCTGATTTAGAACTTCAATTTCCTTTTGTTCTGATAGCAACATGTCACATTCTATAAGCTTGAAACCTATCATTTCCTTTTCTCAAACTCCAACTCACATCAACAGTGTACCATTCTCCAAAGACCAAAACCACAGAATAGACGACCTCTATCTCTGCCGTGCCTCTACCTTCCAATGAGTCACCACATCCTGCTGATTCTTTGTCTTTGAAGCCTCTTTCATGTGTTCCTCTCCAATGACAATGCCCCAATCCGTTTCATCACCTCTGTGATGTTACACCTGAAGAACCTACTTCCTGTCTTCTGATATCTTTCTCTTCCATTCCATCCATGTCAGGTTT